TCTTGTGAAGCGCTTTAAAGTGTTCCAGCATGAAAAACGATCACACCATTCTCCTCCACCACCTCTCCTCCCTCATCCACCTTAGTGGGACTGTACTCCCATGTTTCGAGACCTACTTAACAAACCACCAACAATACATCTTGGCAAATGTTTTTTCCTCCCGCCCCCGCCCGGTCACCTGTCAGCTTGTTTGATGGGTGCAAATTTCCTGCAACTGAATGTTTGCAAGGCGCAAGCCATACTCTTTGACTCCCGTCAACATCTTCTCTCCTGCGGATCTGAACTCCTCAGTTTCCCTAGGTCTTCCTCAGACTCTCCGAACCCGTGCTCAACTTAGGCGTCAGGTTCGATCCCTGGCTTTCCTTTCTACCACACATCCGTTTTCTGACCAGGACCACTTTTTTCCTCCTCCGTCATATTGCCTTCCTCCCTCCATACCTCACAACCAATGCACCCATCCAAGCTTTAATTACTTCCTGGCTATTCCTCACTGGTCTCCCCAGCATCACCAGACACAAAATTCAATGAGTTAAAAACTCCGCCGCCCGGAAACTTACCCGCACAAAACTCCGTACCCCCATCACACCAGCCCTTATCAGGCTCCACTGGCTCCCAATTACCAAACGGATCAATTTCAGGATCCTCTCACGTTTTTTCAAATCCTTTCATGCGCTAATACCTCCCTATCTATCCGATCTGTTTACCCCGCACTCCACCGATTGCTGCTTGTGCTCGACTGGCTCCGGCCTCCTGTCTGTCCTAGTCTCCTCCGCTCCACCATCGATGGCCATGGCTTCAGCCACTACGCCCCAAAAATCTGGAATTCTCCCCCTCAATCCCTCCACCTTGCCCCCTCCCTCCCCATTTTCAAATCCCGCCTAAAAACCTTCCTTTTTGATAGTGTTGATGGTCATCTCCCTCTCCCCCTGGCTCAGTGTCAGACTCTGCCATTTTCAAGTCCTCCAGGACTCCACCCTGCGTGAAGGGGGCTGTAATGCAAGTTGTTGTTAAAAGGTGTTGGGTTGAATGCAAAGATTATACAAAATACTGTATGAGCTCTCACACATGGGGAAAAAGCCAACTTGAATCAGAACCTTAAAGAAGAAGAGCTTTTCCCATGCATTGGCAGTCATGAAGATGTGAGTTCAGAAACACTGTTTTCTCTTAACAGTTCCATATTATCCTGAGTGACATCTCTAGATTTCACAAACAGTACAAACGGGGGCAGGTCCTACATAACAACATAGAAAATGCTGGACGACATAAAGACCAAGGTCCATCTAGCTCGCCTTCCACCTTCCTGGTGGTCGCATGTACATATGTCCCAAACTACCCACTGTACCCCATAATGTTATTTCTCAGAAGAAAACTATCTAATCTGCGTTTGAAGGAATCAACACTTCCTACTTCAACCGTCTCCCTTGGGAGCTTGTTCCACTATTCGCTCACTGAAATAGTGTTTTCGTAGATTCGTACTGAATTTACTGCCTTCTTTACAAGTCCTGAGACGATTCAAGCATCCAGATCAGCAAGTTCTCCAAGTCTGCCCATTTGTTTGAATTCTAATAGAGAAACCACTAATTCTTAGTTAATAGATAAATGTGAATAAGTGGAACAACAACAACAACTTCAATTTATGTAGCGCCCAGATGGCGTCTGAGAGCGCTTTACAATTTCGGATCCCGGAACCGAGTCAGGGGGAGGGGGGTGAAGGTGACCAAAGACGTGGTCGAAAAGAAAGGTCTTCAGCAGAGACCTGAAAATGGGAAGGTAGGGAGCGAGACGAAGGGAGTGAGAAAGGCAGTTCCAGAGCCTCGGGCATAGTGGCTGAAGGCACGGCCGCCGAGGGTGGAGCGGAGGACTCGGGGGACAAGGAGGAGGCCAGACCCGGAGGAACAATGGCAACGGGTGCTGTTTTGAGGAGAGGAGGTCAGAGAGGTAGTGGAGTGCAGAGGAGTGCAGGGACTTGAATATGAGGGTGAGGATCTTGAAGTCGATCCTCTCAGGCAGTGCAGTCTGGCAAGGACTGGGGTAATCGGGGAGCGGAGTATCGTGCGGGTGAGAATGCGGGCAGCAGAGTTCTGAATGAGTTGGATTTTATGGATGGTAGTGGATGGGAGACGGGCGAGGAGGGAATTGGAGTCGTCCAGCCGAGAGGTGACAAAGGCATGGACCAGGTTTCAGCGGCTTTTGGAGAGAGATATTGGCGGAGACGGACGATGTGACGAAGGTGGAAAAAGGCGGTGATGGTAAGGGACCGGATGTGGGGGAGGAAGGATAATTGGGGGTCGAACCTGACGCCTAGGTTGCATACAGGCTTGGAGAGTTTTAGGGGGAGGTCGGGTAGGTGGAGGAGGTGAGAACCATGAGATTTTAGACGTTGACGAGAGCGAAAGAGTATGGCTTCCGTCTTGTCAGCGTTCAGCTGAAGGAAGTTTGCGCTCATCCAGCCCCTGAGGTCTGACAGGCAGACTGACAAGACATCAAGGGACTGGGGGTCACAAAGAGAGGTGGAAAAGTAGAGTTTGGTGTCATCTGCATACATGTGGAAATGTACCCCATGTCTGCAGATAATATCCCCAAGAGGGAACATATAGATCAGAAAGAGGAGGGGGCCAAGGGTGGATCCCTGGGGTACCCCACAGGTGATCGGGTGAGAGCGGGAAGAAAAGCCGTTTATGCAGATGTACTGCTGGCGGTTTGTAAGGTAGGTCTCGAACCAGGCGAGTGCGGTCCCACTGAGGTGGATGACGGAGGAAAGGCGGTGGAGGAGGGTGGCGTGATCGACTGTGTCGCGGCAGAGAGGTCCAGGAGGACAAGGAGGCAGAGGGAGCCCTGGTCACGGATGGAGAGGATGTCGTTTGTGACTTTCACAAGCACAGTCTCTGTACTGTGGGCAGGGCAGAAGCCGGACTGGAGGGGTTTGAAGAGGGAGTGGGAGGAGAGGTGTGCGCGAAATTGGTTGGCCACAACCCGTTCTAGAGCTTTTGAAACGAAGGGCAGCTTAGAAATGGGGTGGTAATGGCTGGGGTTTGAGGGATCTAGGGAGGGTTTTGTCAGGAGTGGGGTGATAACAGCAGTTTTGAGGGGGGCAGGGACTGATCTGGAGGAGAGGGACTGGTTGATGATGTCAGCCAGTAGTGGGCATAGGAGGGGGAGCTGTGTGACCAGTACATTGGTGGGGAGGGGGTCGAGGCAGCAGGTGGTGGGTTTCATGGACGTGATGGCGGGTGAGAGGGAGGAGGGAGAGATGGGGAGAAACAAGACATTTCTCTTAGATCAGGTTGCTTGTTGATCATTTGGAGTCCTGTAGCTCAGTGGTTGGATTCAAGATCCTCGTCTTCACTTTCAAGGCCATCCATGGCCTTGCCCCCTCCTACCTCTCTGACCTGCTGACTCCCTACCAATCTGCCCGCTCCCTCCGTTCAGCGGGCTCCAGTCTGCTGCATGTCTCCTGCCCGACCCGCCCTACCATCGGTGGCCGGGATTTCAGCTTCTCTGCCCCCACACTCTGCAACTCCATCCCACAGTGCCTTCACCTCGCTTCCTCGCTTGCCTCCTTCAAGGCCGGTCTCAAGACCCTCCTCTTCGTTTTTGTCTTCGGTCACTCTCTGCCTTCCCTCACCCCTACCCCACCCCTCCCCCATGCTCGAGTTCTGACCCCTGACTGTCCAGTGCCTTGGGACGTCCTCCTAACATGAAAGGCGCTCCATAAATGTAATTTTGTTGATGTTGTTGCGGTTAGTGCACTCATAGTGTGGCTCCAAGCATTCTGCTGCATCATAAATATTAATGTCAGCCTGGCTCAGTTGGTAGTACTCTTGCTCTGAGTAAGAAGATTGTGGGTTCACAAGTCCTAGATTGGGACTTCGAGCTCATAGTCTAGGTTGACACTGCAATACAATGCTGAGAGAGCCTCCACAGTGCTAAAGGCTCCGCACTCAGGTAAGACCTTAAACCGAGGTACTGTCTGCCTGTTCAGTTGGACATTTAAAAATCCCATAGCATTATTTAAAAGAGAAGGGAGCATCTCTGGGTGTCTTGACCAACAATCTGGTCATAGAATGGGGTGCATCAGTCACTAAGGCACAAAGGGTGATAAAATGCAGAATGTATTATCAGTGAAAACTGACCAAAAATATGGTCAAAAGTATTCAATAGTTACCACTAGCTGGGGTGGGGGGATTCAATTTTAACTGGATTCAGTGTGATCATATAAAATGTTGTAAACTTCCCCCTTCTGCTGTTACATTTGACACCAAGAGATGATCTTATGGAAGATGTGTATTTAATATTTTTNCAGGTGGAGCTGTGTTAGTTATAATATAATAATGTAATAATAATCTTTGCATCTGATATAGCGCCTTATCACGTCTTCGAGACGTCTCAAAGCACTTCACAGAATATACTGTAAAGTGAATTGACTTAATATTTTGTGGGCAAAGCATAGTTTCAAATGTTAAGTGAATCTGAGAGGATGCATCCTCATTACCCTGACACTGCTCACTAAAACATGGTCCAAATTGGTTTAGTACGGATATGTTGACGTTTAAGTTGAACTTTTTTTTATAATTGAACATGAAGATTTTAGAACAGACTGTTTGTGTAAAAATGAAATACATTTCCCCAGAGGGCTGTAGAAGTTGAATCAATTGAAATGTTTAAATGTTAGATAAAAAATAAAAATAATCCTTACATTTGATATAGTCCTTTCTCATCAGGAGGTCAATTCAAAATGCTTCCCAGGAATTCCTGTATAGTGTGGTTACTCTATTTTATAGGCAAACATAGCAGCTAATTTGCACTGCTGATCAAACACAGATTTACCTAGAATTGCGGAAATGTTTGGTGGTGGTGGGTGCGGTGGTGGGGGGGAGCATTTCCAGCCTGCAGGCCACAGGTTGGCCATGACTGGACAGGTCTATAGTGTTGACTGGTTTTAATGGACCATGTATTGCGTACACTTCAGTACATGATTAAATATGTTTTTCCCCATTTAGAGCACGGATGATAGCTATGGAGAAGCAGATTGCCAGCTTGACCGGCCTGGTTCAGTCTGCACTGTTCAAGGGAGGCAACGGCAACGGTACCAAAGAAATTCCCAGGTAAGACGTGAGATTTGCTTTCACGTCATTCCTTAAGCTAATTCATAGAAAATTCTCCCTGAGCTCTTTGAGATCATGACGGTATCTCTGTTTAATTCTGAACTACTGCATGCGATTGGAATTACATTGATCGGTTGAGAAGAAATGGGGATGAAAATTAATTCATGATGGGGGTACATTCTCCTGCCCTGAAAATGTCTCAATGCCTCAGTCAATGGCTGACCCCCGCTGACTTCATTCAAGTGGTTTTGATCGAATGCCGGTTGCACCAGCTGTTGAGCATTCTCTGTCACACACATTCCAGTGGCTGTTGGGCAAATAATGGCATCTCCAAACTTTTAAACCTGAGTAAAGGCAGAATCGGTTTGGATGTTTAAACTGGGAGATGGATAGAGACAATGCAGCCTTGTCTTGTTAAGAGATCCATAAAACCCCATCCCATCTTATAGCGAGATGCGATAGTGGCTTTGGCTGCACATATGCAAACAAGCCAGTGCACTATTTCCGTCATCTTCTCACCCCATTGTTAATAATTGATTTGATCCCTACAAAATGAAATTCAGGCGATTAATTTTGTGTTTCTGTTTAAACTTTTAGTGAAAAGCTCAAGGTCGGATCACACCCCAGCAGTTCTGAAGCAGGAGGTACTTGTTTTTCTTCTCCCTTCCACCTCTCTCCTTTCTCCAGCTCCCTGAAGGCTCTTTCTTAACCAAGCGTTTACAGCTATAGTTTACATAAGAATCAAAGGCAGGCATTGCACAATGTTGTTTCACCCAGAGGTCAAAAGTTTAGGTTTCACTGGAGCAACAGAGCAGTAATTCAAATTTAGAGAATTGACACGATCTTCTAGGTCTTATTTGTATTTATCAGTCACGCCTGACAAAAAACCCTCCCATCATTGCATCAATGTATCAAAGGATACTTTTTGGTTCCAAAGGGACACAAACTGAAAGTGAATAATAATATTTCTTGTATTTAAATTAGCGCCTTTCACATTGGGTGGACATCTCAAAGCGCTTCACAGGATTTACTGTAAAGTGTAGTGACTGTGTATTTTGTAGGAAAACGTGGCAACCAATTTTCTGACTGGTTACCATGTAATTGAAAATATTATTCTAATATGAATCAATCTGTCCATCTTCTGCAGCCCCGCCAACCATTAACATCATCCATGTTTCTTGACATTGTGAGAATATACACATTCCCCTTGTAGCATGTTCGCCTATACAATACACAGTCACTAAAGTTTACAGTGAAGCACTTTGAGATGTCCTCCTGATGTGAAAGATGCTTTATCAAATGTAAGGATTATTATTATTAACATAATAATAATGCGCAATGCACTGCCCTGCAACGGAGAATCAATTGAGCTGCATTAAAGCAGTCGCCTACAAATACAAATTCACCCACAAAATATGCAGTCAATCCACTTTACAACATATGTTGTGAAGCGTTTGGAGACGTCTCGACGATGTGGTAATTCACTATCAAATGCAGAGATTATTATTACTATTATTATTAATACACTGTTACTGCCCTTGACAAGAATTAACTGTAAAGCATTTTTGAAACATTTTATAGTTTTAGGAACTATTTCTGATGCAAAAAATACATTAAGATAAATAGAAACATGTGTAGTAAGGCTTGTGGCAGAGAACAGAGAAATCAGATTGAAAAGAAGTGTTTGTTATAATATAATAAAATGGCTAAATAGGTTTCATGACCAAATTGCTCCTCTATCTCCTTCCCATTATTTGGTGGTCTATAGTATATCCCCAGCAGCATAACAGCTCCTTTTCTGCTTCTCAACTCTAACCGCCTCCTCTTTTTCCTTCCCTATCCATCATGAATACGTTGTAGCCAGGAACGTTAAGCTCCCATTCCTGCACTTGTTTGAGCCAGATCTCTGTTATTGCCACTGCATCATAATTCCATGTGGCAATTTGCGCCTGCAGTTCACCGACCTTATTTGTCACACTCCGAGCATTTATGCACATGCACTCCAAAAGGGCCTTTGTCTACTTTGCATTTCTCCCCTGTCTAAGAACATAAGAATTAGGAGCAGGAGTAGACCATTCGGCCCCTCGAGCCTGCCCCGCCATTCGATAAGATCATAGCTGATCTTCTGACCTAACTCTAATTACCTGCCCTATCCCCATATCCCCTAATCCCTCTATTTTTTAAAAAAATATCAGTCTCAGCCTTGAAAATGCTCAAGGACTGAGCATCTACAGCCTTCTGGGGTAGTGAATTCCATACATTTACTATCCTCTGAGTGAAGAAATGTTTCCTCAACTCTGTTCTAAAAGGCTGACCCTTAATTTTAAGACTGTGACCCCTGGTTATAGATTCTCCTACCAGGGGAAACAGACCCTCTGTGTCTTCTTTATGCAGCCCTTTAAGAATCTTATATGTTTCAATAAGATCTCCCCTAATTCTTCTGTACTCTAGAGAATATATCCCTAGTTTATTCAGCCTATCCTCATAGGTCAGTCCCCTCATTCCAGGAACTAACCGAGTGAATCTACGCTGCACCCCCTCTAGGGCAAGTATGTCCTTTTTTAAATAAGGAGACCAAAACTGCACACAGTACTCTAGGTGCGGTCTCACCAAGGCCCTATACAGTTGCAGCAAGACTTCCCTACTCTTGTACTCTAAACCTTTTGCAATGAACGCTAACATGCCGTTCGCCTTCTTAGTTGCTTGCTGCACCTGCAAACTAACTTTTTGAGACTGGTGTACAAGGACACCCAAATCCCTCTGAACACTAACACTATCTAATCTCTCCCCCTCTAGAAAATAATCTGTTTTTCTATTTTTGCTACCTAAGTGAATAACTTCACACTTCCCCACATTAAATTCCATCTGCCACCTACTCGCCCACTCCCCTAGTCTATCTATATCCCGTTGCAATCTTTTTGCATCATCCTCAGAGCTTACTCTCCCACCTAGTTTAGTGTCATCCGCAAATTTAGATACGTTACATTCAATGTCCTCGTCTAGATCATTGATGTAAATTGTAAATAGCTGAGGCCCAAGCACTGATCCTTGTGGCACTCCACTAGTCACATCCTGCCAATTCGAGAATGACCCGTTTATCCCTACTCTCTGTTTTCTACCCGTTAGCCACTCTTCAATCCATGCTAATATGTTCCCATTAATCCTGTGGGCCTTAACCTTGTGCAATAGCCTTTTGTGTGGCACTTTGTCAAATGCCTTCTTAAAATCTAAATATACTACATCTACTGGTTCCCCCCTATCTAACCTGCTAGATACATCTTCAAAAAACTCTAAAAGATTAGTTAAGCATGACTTCCCTTTTGTAAAGCCATGTTGACTCTGCCTAATCTTGTTATGGTCTTCCAGGAATCCCATAACGACATCCTTAATTAAGGACTCAAGAATTTTCCCTACCACTGATGTCAGACTAACTGGTCTATAGTTCCCCATCTTTTCTCTCCCACCCTTCTTAAATAGTGGTGTTATGTTTGCAATCTTCCAATCAATGGGAACCGTTCCAGAATCCAGAGAATTTTGGAAGATCAAAGACAAGCCATCCACTATCTCAGTAGCCACCTCTTTTAAAACCCCAGGATGTAGGCCATCAGGTCCAGGGGATTTATCAGTTTTAAGACCTGACAATTTACCTAAAACCATTTCTTTACTAATATTAATTTCCCCAAGTTGCTCGCTAACATTGTCTTCTTGGTTCCCCTCTATTCTTGGTAGGTTTTCAGTGTCTTCTAAGGTGAAGACAGTAGCAAAGTACTTGTTTAATGACTCTGCCATGTCTTTGTCCCCTACTATAATTCCCCCCATCTCTGCCTCTAACGGACCCATATTTACCTTTGACAGCCTCTTCCTCTTTATATATTTGTAAAAACTCTTGCAGTCTGTCTTTATGTTCCTCGCTAGTTTGCCCTCATATTCCATTTTCTCCCTCTTAATCACTTTTTTGGTTCTCCTTTGTTGATCCCTAAAGTTCTCCCAATCCTCGGGTTTACTACTCATCTTAGCTGTTTTATAGGCTTCTTTCTTTAACTTTATACTTTCCCTATCTACTCTAGTAAGCCACGGTTGGGCCACCTTTCCTGTGGCATCTCCTTGAACGTCTGCCATTGCTGGTCTACTGTCAAATCCTTAAGTCTAATTTATTTTAGCTAAATCCTCTCTCATACCAGCAAAATTTATTACTTAAATTTAGGACCTTTGCTTCGGACTTAACTACTTCTCTCTCTAACTTAATGCTAAATTCCATCATATTATGATCACTTTGCCCTAGAGGAGCCTTTTCTGATCAGCCCTGCTTCATTACACAAAACAAGGTCTAATATGGCCTGTTCCCTGGTTGGCTCCTTGGCAATTTTCCAATTTGGTTGTCCCAATCTATATGCAGATTAAAGTCACCCACAATTAATGTTTTTCCTTTGCTACATGCTCCGCTAATTTCCTGATTTATACCTTGAGAGATACTGTGATTGCTGTTCAGGGGTCTATAAACTACTCCCACTAGAGTTTTCTCCCCTTTGTTGTTACATACTTCTACCCATACTGACTCTACTTCCTGCTGTTCTGATTTTACATCTTTTCTCTCTACTGTTTTTATCCCATCCTTTATTAGTAGGGCCATCCCCCCTCCTCGTTTACCACATTGCTTATCTTTTCTATACACCAGGTATCCTGGAATATTTAGCTCCCACCCTTGATCTCCCTGTAACCATGTCTCGGTGATGGCTACTAGATCATACCCGTTTGTTTCTATTTGAGCAGTTAGTTCATCTATCTGATCCCTCCTCTTTCTGAACAATTCTTTATTCCAAAGTGATTTATTTGTCTCTCTCAGCCCTCTATGTTCCTTGTTTCTCTTCCCTCTCTGATGTTACATTCTGGTCCTGTCCGTGCCCCCCCCCCATCAAGTTAGTTTAAACCCTTCTCCACAAGCACGAGTTAACCTCCCCACGAGGACATTGGTCCCAGTCATGTTCAGGTGTAACCTGTCCCAGGAATCTGAATCCTTCCCTCCTGCACCATTTCTCCAGCCACACATTAACCTGCTTTATCTTGCTGTTCCTATACACACTGGGAGTAATCCAAAGATTACCATCATTGAGGTCCTGCTCTTTAGTCTCTTCCCTAGCTCTTGAAACTCTGCTTGGTGGACCTCGACCCTTTTCTTTCCTACGTCATTGGTTCCAACATGGACCATGACTTCTGGCTGTTCCCATCCCCTCGCAGAATGTTCTGCACCCATTCCATGACATCCTCCACCAGGGAACCTACGCACCATCCAAGACTCAAGTCTGCGCTTGCAGAAACACCTGTCTATCCCCCTGACTATTGAATCCCCAATGACAATAGCATTGCTACACTAGGCCGTGGTCCCCTGTGGAATCGTTTGGCCCACTGTGCGGTGGATTTGCCTGACTGCACTCCCCTGAGGTGGCGTCACCCTCACCGGTATTCAGCACAGAAAACCGGTTTGTGAGTGCCACGCTCTCCTCCTGAACTCTCTGTGGCTGCTGGGTGACCACCTCCTGAAACGTGCGGTCCATAAAGGCTTCAGCTTCCCGTACGCACTGCAGTCTCTTCTCAAACTCAGAAACCCTGAGCTCGAGCAGCCGGAGGCACTTTCTGCACACGTGGGGTATCCAGTAAAAACAGGGATCCTGGAGTTCCCACATGGCACACAATGTGCATGCAATAGGTCTCAGCTGTTCTGCCATATTCCCAGAATTGTTTAAAAATTATTTGTGATATAAGCACATCCTTCCCTTTCTGCACCAAATTCCCACTCTCACCAAATCCCTTCACTAAAGGCTTACTCTGTTCCCACCTCATTCCGTGGGGCTCCCTGCTCACAAGTCTCCCCTCTAGATTCCTTCAGTTTTATACCCTTTTCGATTTCTTTCATAGAGTATTGAGTCTGACCTCACTCAAATTGGGTAAAATTTAAATTTTTCCACCTGTGGAATAAAGAGAACTGTATTTGAAGATAAATCAAAAAGCAAGCGAGCTGCCAAGTAAATGCTTGGTTTGAACTGGCAAATATTTATTTAAAAAATGAGCTGTGAATCGGATTTGACCACTGCAGAGTCTTGAGCTCTGGGTTATTTTTCCATCGTTGATAAACTCACTGACCTTTGATATTCTCAGGCTGTTGGTAAACTTATTGAGTGTCAGTGGTATTCACTTATTCACTATTTGATAGTGTTCACTTATCCTATTATAAGTCGTCTCCCCCACCCCACCCAAAAGTCAGTGAATGTATCACCTATGCAAGGAATAACTCCCTTTGCAGCAATTGTGTTACTTCCCACCAGCTATAGAAGTGTATGATTGCATGATTCTGTTTTTACTATAAGGGATTTGTTTTTTGTCAGCTGGGTGTCTGGCACTCATCACCATGCTTAGACGTACCCAAACCAAACTGAGAGTTTCACACATCCCACCCACGCAAGGAAATTCCAGAGAATTTATTGGAATGGAATGTGCACTCTCTCCCTGGAGAAACGCATTCTGTTTTACCAAATTCCAGAAAATATTAGCCGCAGGTTGGCAAGAGACCCTGTTTACCTCCCCCCCCACCCCTCCCCCGCAACCACCTCACCACCACCCACCGTCATTAGGTGAATGGCAGGTATGAGGAACCCTCTGGAAGCTTCCTGGTGGGCAACACACCTCAGCACTTGTCGCCCCAAGCCTCAAGAGTTTCTTCATCAGCCATCCGATGGACCTCTGCCTTCAGCATAGTGGAGGGAGTTTACAACAAGGCTTGTGACGTGCCAGCCCACCTTAATGTTCTCGAGGTTGGACTGTAAGGGAGAGAAATTCAGAAGAGATTTTTCCCTCTTTACGCTAATGGAACAACCTGATATACCCAGGTACAGCTTGGCCAAATTTTTCTCTAACGTTTGAAGAGCCCACTCCCACTTTGTTAACAATTTGCCATTTCCATCTCCCAGATCAGGCAGCCCTACAGCTTTCCGAATAGGATTGAACACTGGAATACCACATTATACTGTAGCTGCATCTGTTCTCTGGGAGTTAACTAAGATTTAACAGAGTTAATTCAGGCTCAATTAATTTTATTTGGAGCCTCATTAGCCATTGTTGAAAACAGGCCCATTTTGTTCATCTTGCCTGGATTGAAGCATATGTTCCAGAGGTGATGACATGGAATAATAAGTGAAAACAAGATTTGACATTTTACAGTTTTATTTGAAGCAGAATGCAGAATGTCTAATTAAAAACACAAGAATGAAAAAGATTCTATGATAATTTGTCTGTTCCAAAATCAAATGTTGAGAAATTGTGCAAATTGTAGACAGTTGTGTGCATTGTTTCCCACTCTTTAGAAGATATGAAATCTATGTTCGTGTCACATATGCCATATTTAAAGTTATTTGTTAAATGATTGGTTCTGTTAACCACTAATTTGAAACTGATGCCATCCTGATTTCCTTTTGCCCTATTATAATAAGAATAAGAAACTTTCCATTGGATATATCATCATACCACATCATCAAAACAATATGGGATTCAAACCCACAACCTTCTGAAGCCAGAGGCAATAGTTCTACCAACTGAGCCATGCTGACACAGAATAGATATTTTCAAGTACACTGCTCTCTTACTGCCCTGATGTGAAATCACGGGTGCAGTGCCTTTACATCTGGAACAATGCAAATTACAACAACAACAACTTGCATTTATATAGCGCCGTCCACGCTGGGCGGCGTCTCAGAGCGCTTAACAATGGTGGAAGCCCAGTGAAGGGAATTTATCCCTTCACTGGGATCACTCAGCATTTCCAGTCTGACCTGGGGTACTAGGATTGATCACTCGGCAATTGTTAATATGACGTAATCTTTTTGTTGCGTGTTCAGATGGGAAACCCTATTGTACATGTGTAAAGTAAACATAGCTAGTGTTAGAGATTGGCACATCAATGACTCCATGTCCATGGCTTCTCAATAGCTGGTCAACTGACAATGCACTGTGGACAATACTGAAGTCTGGACTGATATCCACTGAGATCTGAAGGCACAGTTACAGATTGGTCACGTAGTATAAGTGCTGAGGCCCATCCTGGTCTTCCTCAACAAGCATGTTCACTTTTCTTTTATATTTTAATTTCCATACAAGTTGCCAAACTGTTATCCTGCTTTTTCATTCAATGTGATAATCTCTGTCCATAGGTACAACAAATGCTACAGCAGCAAAGTACTCCGAGATCAATTTGGAGTCGTTGAGTGATGTCATTCAGATTTCTACCACTTGTACACATCAGCTACAAGTATTTGAGTTACGAAGAAATGTTCAAGACCTCCGCCAGCAGCTTCAGCAGTTAAGATTTCTACAGGTATTGTTCATCTTTTTGACAAGTTTAACGACAGCATAGCACATGCAGTGCGCGGGGAACACTGCATTGTTGGAGGTACGTCGTTTGCATGAGACGTTACACCAAGATCCTGTCTCCCTATAATAAAAGCAGAAGTCGCTGGGAACACGCAGCAAGTCAGGCAGCATCTATGGAGAGAGGAAAATGAGTTACCGTTTCAGGTCGATGACCTTTTGTCAGAATTCTGACGTTGAGTTCTGACGAAAGGTCGTCGACTTTAAACGTAAGCTCATTTTCCTCTCTCTACAGATGCTGCCTGACCTGCTGCGTGTTCCCAGCAACTGCTGTCTTTATTTCAGAATTCCAACATCTACAGTATTTTGCCTTTTGTATCTTGTCTCTCTATTCAGGTGGACATTGAAAATGCTATTGTGCTATTTGAAAAGGCCTGAAGTTTCTCCTGGTGTCCTGACCAACAATCTGTCAGATAACATTTGTCATTCACTTCATGGTTGTTTGTGGGATCCTGCTGTGTGCAAATTGGCTGCCGCCTATAAAATACACAGTCATTACACTTTACGGTATATCCTGTGAAGCTCTTTGAGATGTCTCCCTATCATGAAAGGCACTATATCAAATGCAAGGATTATTATTGTTATAAATGTACATAAATCTCATGTTTTGAGGCTACAGCAATAAGATAATTGGTGAGTCCAGAATTCTTAAGCTCTGCTTCATGAGTTTAGATGCTCAATGGAATATTGAATGCACTCCAATGATACCAAGCAGTGTCAAGCTGTGGACATTGATCATTTACAGCTCCTGCAATGTACTGCCTCTCTGTGCTGCATGTTAGCTAAATCAAGCAGTGCTTTAATTCAGCTTGTCAGAGTCTTGCATCACGTAATCCAGTCTCACGGAGTGTTTTATTTTTCAGAAATTGTCAGTAAGTTACTTATGGTAAAACCCCACTTACATTCCTCCCCAGGAGGAGTCAGTTAAAGTGAATAGTGGTTGCTGCTGAATTCGATAGTGAACAACGCACTGAACAGCATGATGTAGATTAATTTTGGCAGTCTGATCTGCTCTGTAACTTGGAACAATCTGAACACAGGACAGCCTCTTTCCAAGGTCACAGTGTTCCACGTAATGCATGGCACAACATGGGGGTAAAGGGTTAGAGTTCTGACTAATAATACAAACCTCTGAAGAATGGTGAGGCCAGAAATAAACCCTGGTAGCTGAGGAACCTCGCTGAAAATGTGCTGCGTTGACCAAAATAAGATGCGAATGTCATGCTGATGTCCTAGCAGGCTGTGGTTATATTTTCATTGCTTCCTTCTTTCCCCTGGAGTTTGTTGTTTGGTTAGCTGGGTGTCTTGACACACACGGAAATCCATCAACGTGGTTATCCATTGCATGTATGCCACCTACACATGGAAGTTTGCGTGTCTGGAATGGAAAGTGCACTCTCTCTCTCTCTCTCTGGAGGAACACGCCTAATTGTGGAGTGTGTTAGCCACAGGATGGCAAGAACCAAGGCTCTAGGGTCCCCTAGGATCCCAAAGTGTGCGTGAGGGTATAATTGGAGTCTAGTCAGCTAAAACTACCATTGAAACCACTGTCTGGAAAGCTTGCCACTGCTTGCCAGCAAGGATCACACTAGCCGTTAGGGCTCTGGTTTGCAGGGTTAACGGGCCAGAATGGGATGAATCTCTGTCCTTAGTCTGCCCCTTCAGGTTCTACTGATGAGCCAGGCTAACAAGTCTGTTATCAACAGCAGTGCCCTGGAGTACTGCAGACCCACCTGGCTCAGGAACTGGACTATCAAGACCTCCACACAGGATTGACTCAATGCTAACATTCCAGAATACCCCCACTATCTTCCTGGTATATATTATGAAATCGGCCTAAGCAACTGTAAACCTATGTCCTCTTGTTCCACTGTCCTGAAGTATTTACAGATCCTTTTAAAGTTTTACACATCTCTTGAGTCATTTTCTCCTAAGACTAATTGTTGCTCACATAGCTCATTCCTCTCACATTAGGGATCATCCTTGTTGCATTGCCACTGTGTCACAGTGACCAGAACTGTATGCTGTATTCTAGGTGCGGTCTGACCTGAGCACTGTACAGCCTGAGTAGGATTTAAACTCAACTGATTTTGCAACATCCTGGTTACCTTGTTTACTGCTGCCTTTCACTGATTGGACTTTGTGAGCAATAAGTCAGCTTGGATCTCTCAGCTTCCCTCTTGAAAAGTTCTAGCCCATCCGTGGAGTACTTGTATTCTACATGGAATAGTTTGCATTTAAATTTATTAAACTAAATTTGTTAAGACTGAATTTAAGAATATTCAGCAAATATAATTCGAGAAAGGAAGCCCAGGGCCATTGCTATTTTTCAGCTGCAGATGGAGACCTGATATTACATTTTCTGTGAAAATATTCTTCTTCACCTGCTTACTCCTCATTTGTTGGTGGATTCATGTGTTTCCACAGCTCTGGAACAGACTTGCACATTGCCAACAGGTCTATTTAGATAAGCTTGCAGATGTCCTTCCTGATTTAAATTTAAGGAAGGACACCCAGTATTCAGGGCATCGGGTCCGAGAGGACCTTCAGACCCATCGACATCTTGATTTTGCTAAGTAGAGAAACCCCAAACCCCCTGGAACTTCAGGAAATCCCAGAAGATGTGTAGTCAGGTATCAATTTTGATAGTAGCTTGCAAAAGGGAATTGGATAGGTACTTGAAAAGGAAACATGTGCAGGGCTATGGGTTAAGAGCGGGGGAGTGGGACTAGTTGCATAGTTTTTTCAAAGAGTTGACACAGACATGATGGGCCAAATCCTTTGGATCCCCCTCCTTTTGGGCTGTAAGATTCTATGATTCTTCATGTCCTTTTGACTATAGCCCCTGCAGTACTGGTCATCTAGCTCTGCATCTTTGAAATCCTTGGAGGGGCTTCTGCCTGCTAAATGTTGTGGGCACATTGGAAGTGTACACATCAGCACCTAAAATTGGGACTAAAATTCCCAGGATGCACAACAGGATAATGTTTCAATCTGAAACAAACAAGGATGGGCCTTGGCTAACAAATGATTTTCTACGACTACAGAGGGCCTGAGACCTACTTTGGTATTTAATGGAAGTGTGGAGTTTCATCACCATACAGATAACAAGAATGTAATACTTTTCACTGATCTATGTGTGTACCTAACCTGATCAAGGCCAAGCCTCCTTTGAAAGAAGACTTGTTGAAGTAAGTTGCTCTGTAAAATTTGTGGTCGCGAGAAAATGTGCTGATGTTGGTTTTAGCTTCTGACCGTGAAAAGCAAATCATCACACCATTCCTCCAAGTTGCTGCTATTACTTAGGATTCTTTTAAATTTAGATGTCACTACAATAGATAGAAATTCTAATTTATTGAGTAGTGAGCAGCTAGTGACTTGAGAAACAGTTCCTATTTCTATTCCATAGAATATTTAATAAAAACTCTGGAATTTATGCTTGTTATCTCACTCACATTTACCTGTAGGTAAATTTCATGCTCTATATTATTCCAGCATTTTCTGGGTTTCACTGATTGTTATTCCTGTTTATCTTATGTTTGGAAATGTCTCAGAGCCCTTAAAGATAGATTTAAGGATAGATAAAGAGGCTTTGAGACAGAGGGATTTAGGCAGGGTGTTCCAGAGGTCAGGGCATAGTAATAATAATAATAATCCTTGCATTTGATATAGCGCTTTTCACGTCGGGAGGACGTCCCAAAGCGCTTCACAGAACACACTGTAAAGTAGTGGAAGGCACAGTCACTAATGGCGGTGAGGAGTGGTTGGAGGTTATCAGCAGGCCTGTGTTAGCTGAGGGAAGGAGCTGTGCAGAGGAGTGGGGTACGAATAGGTCAGAGAGGTAGGGAGGTACTAAAGAGTGAAGGGATTTGTAGCTGAGAGTGAGGATCTTGAAATTGATCCTTTCAGAGACAGGGAGCCAGTGGAGCCCGGTGAGGAATGGAATGATGGGCATGTGGAGTTTGGTAATAACATTATTCCAGTAGGTCAAACCAGCATTGTCCAGCCATCTCCTGGATGAAATGCTGTTCCATCTAGTGGCCTGGCTAGAATTGGTGTCAGTCGAAAGTAGGATGTTTTCAAATCTCAAACCATGCGTGCTTTATGGTTGAGATAAATGGCCCATTCAGTTGGACACTGAGTTACTTGCAATACTGCTTCCCTTCATGATGCACTGCATCGAATGTCCAAAAACTGGTGTGGTGGGAATGTAAGAAAATCATTATATTCCTAAATGCATTCTGTTCCATATTTAATCAATTCCTTCCATAAGGCCATCAACTTATATTGCTCAGTGTCTCTGTATTTGCTTTGGGTAGAAATGTTGGGACAGTGAGCAGCTCCCTATTCAAATTGAAACCCACCATCTCCCAAATCTCCCCGCACACACTGTAGAATGGCTAACTAAGAAAAATCAGCAAGAAGAGAATAAATCACTGAAGGACTGAAGGTGAGAGCTTGATGGCTCTCCCCACATGGTCAATTCCAGATTCCACTGGGGTCTTTGTGGTGAGCAAAAGCCACATCCAGTCAGTTAATCCCTCTGCCTGGAAAGTGACAGCCTGTCATAACATTCGAGTTTCAGAACCCACTGTTAGCAACTGAATCGCCCATAGTCTATGTCCCTGGCGGGACACAATAACAGCACCGGTTCTGGACAGTGTTCCAAATGACTTTTATTCAGTTTCTCTGGTTAAGGCGGGACACTTATGTCGACTTGGAATATTAGATCACTCTACAATCACAGCAGTTTACCCTGGAGTGGTTAGGTAAATAGCATGGACAGCGTAACACTATACAGCAGTTGAATCGATGAGGCAGCAGGAATGACACTGACAAAAAGGACCAGAGTTAGATACAGTCTCTTTCTTACAGGTCTTAGAAATCTTACAAATCTTTTAGGACAAAAGCTCTTTCTTCTCTCTTGGGCACCCCACTTGTCTCTCT